CCTGATTCCTGTAGGAAACCAGCATCAGCACCACTACCGCCATCCTCATCACACCTTCCTCTGGGCTCAGTGGATCTTGCCTCGCAGGGTCTTCATCCTGAACCAGGTAGATACGGTCCTCTTTATGATGGACAATGGAGTGATGAAGAGCCACGGTGGATGACATCACTTCTGAGTCTGGGATGTGTGCTGCAAAATGTAACCTTCACATAAGTTTGAGGGTCATAAGACCTTCACAAAGTCATGTGTGCGAGTGTGTGTGCGTGTGTGTTTAAGTGTGCACACGTGCCTGCATGTGTCAATGTTCACACACAGGACACCTGTGAAGTGAGATAGTTCAGTGGCATTCTCTTAGGATAAGTTACTTAAAGTGTATTAATCCACTGAACATCTCCTAAGTGATTCTGGACACTTGTGCCAACTTGCATTCACCTAATCTTTATGATCCACACAGGACCAGGTCAAAAAGAGCCATTGGTGCCCTGAGGTGAGACGCTGTCACATGCACCAGCAGGGAAACTACTAACGTTTCTGCATTAACTGTCTGGTTGTCTAGCATTGCAGTAGCCTAAGGCCACCTACTGGTTACTGAAGGGAAAGCAAGCTTCATTAAAGGCCCATTATAAGCAAAGCCTATATTGATCTTAACCCTAAGCTTGATGCTGTTGCTTTTCTACACAGCATAATTCAAATAAATTGATATTTTTGAAATCTATCTGGCCCACCCACCAGGCCAGTTCAGACGGGCCCCGAAATCCAGCACCAGCTTCTTGAGCCAGAGGGTTTTTTCTGTGAGCTGATGCCACTGCAGACCCTCTTCCGTTAAAGTTGTGAATGGAGTCTGGAGCAACAGGCAGGCCATCAGAGACCAAGGGCTGATCAAAGAGCCCTCCTCCTGGGTTCGCACAATCAAATGGGCCAGCCAGTTCACACAGTCCTGGGTCTCTGCAGTTGGCCTCTGGGGAAGATTTCTGAATAGAAAACGAGACAGATTCTAAAGTTATATACAGGCTGTGTCTTTAGTTTTGAAGGTTTACAGTGACACAAATATTAATTTAAGTTATATTATTATTAAACTTGTTAATGTTTTTGTTAATTTGGTGCATTTTACCAAGTCATTTTGGTTTAGTTTTTTATTACTCACTGTAAGTAAAAACTTTATAAAATTAAAATTTTAAAATGTAAAGGTTTTTATATTCTTCAGTTGAATTACCTGTATACAACTAATGGAAATTACAATTAAATAATATATCGATGATAAATTACAGTTATTTAAGTTATTTAGTATTTAGACTTTATAGACTCTATAGACTATTTCTATTTAGACTTTGGTTGGTAGATACTCAATATTCATATTTGTACCTACAGCCATGTGTGATATTGGCAAAAAAAAAAAGAGAAAAAAAGGGAAATCTGTACCTTGGTATGAGGTTGTACTCACTCCAATTTATCTTTCCTTCACACAGCTGTCGGGCAGACAGGGGGCGGCCAAAGTTCACATGCATGCAGCCATAATCTTCCTGCAGGAGTCCGCTAGCTTTAAAGAGTCCCTGCAGGGAAAGAGTGAGGGCAAGAAGCATGTAGTTTCCTATCTTTTAGAACCAAAGATTATATGGGAATTTTTATCAAGTCATAAATGAGGCTGAAACTTACGGTGATGCTTTCTTTTGGTCTGGGGACACCCAACAACTCAAGTGCAAGCAATGACTCCTCCAGCACTCTGTCATAGCTGATACTGATGGGCACCAGGGTAATATCAAACACCTCACCTTTAAAATATGGCTCCAGCACCATGTCCATCATACCTACAGAAAAAAAGGTGAACAATAAATATTAAAATTATAAATAAAATGACCAGTAAACTTGTTTGACTTTTAACTCTTAAAATATCCTAAACCTAGAACAACCCTTCAGTTTAAGAGGACTAAAATAATAGGAAAACATGCCTATACAGGACAATATGACCTAAACATAAATTATTAACCAGATAAAGATCTCTGTAATTAGGGTCGTGGAGAAGAGCTTTCAGAAAAGCAGAACAGAGAAAGTCCATCACATTCATTTGCAATTGTAACAGTGTTTATGTTGTATGTGATTCCACTTGCCATGTTAACCACGATGTATTTGTGTATTGTGATGTTTACTGACTCAATGGTGCCCTTTTCTCATAGGCAGTGGATTAATACTACTGGCAGCGTTACAACATTGCCAGATTACGAGGGACAAGCCTGAGGTGGGTTGTATATCACAGCACTGTGCATGATCATTAGATTTTGGTATTTGTGCAACCACTATATGGAGGATATTCAATTCTATTTGGTTTTATTTATACAGTGCCAAATCACAACATCAGTCGCCTCAAAGCACTTTATATTGTAAGGTAGACGCTATGAGCAAGCACTTTGGCGACAATGGGAAGTAAAAACTCCCTTTTAACAGGAAGAAACCTCCGGCAGAACCAGACTTAGGGAGGGGCGGCCATCTGCCACGACTGGTTGGGGTAAGAGAAGGAAGACAAGATAAAAGACATGCTGTGGAAGAGAGCCAGGGATAATAACAAGTGTGATTCAAGAGAGGTCTATTAACATATGTTGAGTGAGAAAGGTGACTGGAGAAGAAATACTCAATGCATCATGGGAATCCCCCAGCAGCCTATGCCAATTGCAGCATAACTAAGGGAGGATTCAGGGTCACCTGATCCAGCCTAACTATATGCTTTAAAGAAAAGGAAAGCCAATACAGGAGAAATATTCTCTCTCTTTCTAGTCCCTGTCAGTACTCTTGCTGCAGCACTTTGGATAAACTGAAGGCTTTTTAGGGAGTTTTTGAGACATCCTGATAATAATGAATTACACTAGCCTAGCCTTGAAGTCATAAATGCACAAACAAGTTTTTCAGCATCACTCTGAAACAGGATATTTCTCATTTTAGAGATACTGCGCAAATAAAAGAAAGCAGTCCTACATGTTTGTTTAATATGTGCATTGAAGGACATATCCTGGTCAAAATGACTCCAAGGTTCCTCACAGTGTTACTGGAGGCCAAGGTAATGCCATCCAGAGTAAGAATCTGGTTAGATACTATATTTCTAAGGTTTTCGGGCCCGAGTACAATAACCTCAGTTTTATTTGAATTTAGAAGCAGAAAATTAGAGGCCATCCAGGGTTTTATGTCTTTAAGGCATTTCTGCAGTTTAACTAATTGGTGTGTGTTATCTGGCTTCATGGAGAGATAAAGTTGTGTGTCATCTATAGAGCAGTGAAAATGTAAGCTATGCCTTCTGATGATAAGCATATGGCCACTGCAAATTGTCTGACTGTTAATAAGAAGAGTTCAGGTGAATTGTTGCCAATGTGTGGTGATAAAACAGTCACATAATAGTACTGTACACTGGCTAGCTTAGCTAGCAAGATACTATGTTACCATAATATGCTATTACCTTTGCATGCAGCTTAAACACAGCACACTACAAATACATAACCAGAATATGACCAGTACATATTCTGTTCTTATCCAGGTACACAATATTTATATTAATGAACTTGTTATATTAGTTTTCAGCATTAAAACATTGCCAGATTATGAGGGACGAGCCTGAGTGTACTGTGTTTAAGTCACCTGCAATGAGTCAACCTGCCTGGCCAGTACATACTTAGTACTTACCCAATTAATAAATGGCAGCACTAAAAGATAAGCAAGTCTCGTCCATCATTTACTACACAAGGCAGAGTCAAGTCATATTTTTGAACCAGTCAGGTACAGCAAAGTATAATTTAGCCTAGTTACACAATGAAATTAAAGCAAGACAGAAAAAGTCCAAAAGAATCAGATGCACGCACTTTGATGTCCTGGGACACACCTAAAAAAAAAACAAGGTGGTAAATTTGGATACTTACCAAGCTTTGGCACCAGAGACTTCAGTGTGCGACTTCTGAAACCTTCTACATAAAACTCCAAAGGAGCATATCCTGTCTACAGAAAACACATTATGCTGTTGGAACCCTTCCTTTGATTGAAGTTGATTACCAAAGATGCATTCAGGAATATGCTGAAAAGTCATCATCTTACCCTGACAATTGTTTGAACGTATTCTAAAAGCACCGCCCAGTATAGCTTGTCAGAGCCGATTGCTCGTCGGATATAAAAAGCTCCAGAGCGACGCAGAAGCCCTCCAATAATCGTCACATCTGCAAGACCTTTAAAATGGAGCAGAAGAGACAAAAATTTAAAAATATATTTTTTTGTTGCTACACTATAAATAACTGGATATAATGTATGAGTATGTATATAGTATGATTAAAAAAAATTTTGTGTCTTAATATAAATAGATACTTGCGAATTCCTGCAGCAATGACAGGTACTGGGATGTCATAGGTGAACAGGATATAGGATATAATCAAGAAGTCCACATAACTCCTGTGATTGGGTATCAAGATCACAGGACTCTCCTGGATGGCCTGCTGCAGCTGCAGTGACAGAACAATTCTAATTTTCCAGAAATCAGTGAAATTACACAGTGCACTAGTAGGTTCTATTCGTAGTACTAGTAAGATGGAACAAAAAAATTCTAAGTGCTAAAAAGTAAAATAAAT